GCTCCCTGTTCACTCGGCGCCGTCGTGCTCCCATGCCTGCCACAGGAGCACGAGTCCCCTCGTCCTGCCCCCTGTCGCCTCCCTGTCTGCCGAACGCCTCGATCTTGCACGGCTCTCCGGGATCTGGGGGGGCCCTCAAACGACCCTGAGGTCCTGCCGCCTCCATTGCTTCGGGTTGGGCGCTTGCGCCTCAAAAATCCGGGCCCCAGGACACTCACGGATCACTCATGCTCGAAAGCTGGCGCAGAAAGATCGGGGGTGCAGGGCTCCCGTGGTGATTGTTCACGACATTTCGACTTTTCCCGCGACGTCGGGTCTCAGAGGAGAGCTGCTGACGCTCGGGCACCTGTTCGCGCGCACCTCTGCGTGAAGGAAGCGGCTCCCGAAGGACGCGGGCCATGGCCACCACAGGGCCTCCTCCAGGACAGGCCGCCCCAGAGAGAGGGTCCGGGCAGCCTGACGGCGCTGCCACTTGGAGAGCAACACCTTGCCGACACCGCCGCTCCCCAAACGTCTGCGGGGGCGCGACCTGGCCAGGGCCTCGGGGCGAAGCCAGCCGTGGCGACGTGGGCCCCCCCCCCCCCCCCGGGAGGCCCAAGACGGCGAGGACGAGGCAGGGGCAACGGCATCGGAACCGCTTCCTCCTCCGAATTGCCCTCGGGACCCCTCGCCTCGCAGCGAGCAGCCCGCCGAAACCCGCCCGCAAGGCCGGCCTACTCCTGCCAGGACGTGGCGAGGCAGAAGGGGGGGGGGGCGGGGGGGGCACGTCGCGCCCCCCTGCAGTGCTGGCTTGTTACTCGTCGGCGGGAAGAAGCAAGCCGCCAGAGGCAGGTAACACACATGGAGGAGGAAGGCGGACAAAAGCAGATTGGGTCCATGCCCTCCCTCGCCACGGACGGCAGAAGCAGATCGGTTCGTGAAGTACGAAGGCGCGGTGAGTAGACTGGGATCTGGGGATCCAGGAATACCTGCTGTCAGCGTGCGACGACCGACGTGCCATGGTAGGACGGGACGAAGCAGGCGGAGGGACCCCCCGACTCCCTTGGCCGGGCTAACGGCGATGTTGCTCAACGGTGATGCTGGGAGCCAACGTGTAGGACATCGCACGCCACACTCTCCTACATCTCCAGCGTGCGCATGAGCCGAGCCAACACGACACTGCGAATTGTAGGACATAGAAGAAGACAGATAGTACATAAACCTTTGGCGCTGCGCGCGGATTTCTTGAACCTGCTCGGACTCCTCCCTGGCGCGCAGAGCGCGGCAGGGGCGGCGCCGGAGGCGCCGCCAGGGGGCCCCAGCGCGGATCCAAGAACTCCGCGCGGAGCGCCAACAAAAATATGAGTTTAGGTTTGTTTATGTCGGAAGCCGGGCGAGGGCTGCTAAATCCGTGGCTGCTAAAATCGACCTCCGGGAAGTCTTCGACCTTCCGGGAAGACGCCCGTTAACTGTTTCGCGTGCCGCGCCCCATTCCGGTAAGTTGCTTTGTCCTTCCGGGAGGGCCGTTTTAGCAGCCATGGTCTTAGCAGCCCTCGCCCAGCTTCCGATTATGTCTTCCTCTTCTTCTTTTTTTTATGTGCGAGCCACGCGCTTCTTCTTCTTATTCTTATTCTTATTATTACTATTATCATGGTTCTTTTTTATGTGCGAGCCACGCGCTTCTTCTTCTACTGATTCTTCTTCTTCTTCTTCTTTTGTAGTTTTTGTTTATTATTCATGTTTATGTGTGAGCCACGCGCTCCCACAGCACCGAAACCCACACCGCCCTTGCCTGCGTCGCCGTTGGCCCGCCCACGGGCCTCGCCTCCGAGCAGCGCCGCCAGGCAAAGGCGCAGCGCCGCCGGCGCCGCACGCCGAGGTCGGACCCCGGCCTCCATCACCGCGCGGGGCGCTGCGCTCAGGGATCGACCCGGACGGTGCTTTTCGTTTTCGTTTGGTTTTCGCTCTCCCTCGGTGTGTCTTCCAGCCGCCTCCGCTGCGAAGCGGCGTCGAGACGAGAACGCGGCCCACGAAATCGCCAAGCCACCATTCGGGTCGGCCCCAGGCTGCGCTCACACCACGCACGCGGCCGAATGTGGCTCGAGCCGCGGGGGGGAAGGGGTCCCAGGCTGGATGGCGTCGTGCAGATTTGCGACGCGCAGAAAGGGGATATAGGGGAAGGGAAAAGGCTTCTTAGGAGGAGGCTGCTTCTCAGGAGGCGCCGGCCTTCCATCTACAAGGCCCACGCCTTCTGAGACGCAGGGGTGCTTGTAAGATTAGGTCGGACATGTGCCCCTACAGGCGGATTTGAGGCGAAGAATGAAACAGACTCCAAATATGCAAAACAAAGCCAAAAAAGTAAACAAATACTCAAAATATCCTCCCCTGACTGTTTTTTTTTTAACAAAAAAAATGGACATTCCTCCTGTAGAGGGACCCGCCCGACGGAAGTCCAAGGAGCCTCCCCCTCGCCCCCCCGTGCCGCCCCTGGCGCATGGCCGGGCAGAAGCCACGCCGCGGAGGCTCCTCGCCGTGCGCGGCCTCCGGGGACCCTCGCTTTGGCCCTTGGGGACCGTGCGAGAGAACGGCTCTGGGACTTTGACCTGCCAGAGACCAGCCGCACGCGTACTGGCCAGAGGCTTGCAAAAACGCGTTGGCCGACGATGGAGGCGCTACTCTCGACCCACGGCCTCGCCTCGCCAGCGGGCTCGTCGTCGTCCGAGGGTCGCCGGCCTCGGGGAAGAACCGACGAGGCCTTCCCACAAGGCAGACGTCAGCCTGGGGATCAGGAGGCGTTGGCCGACGATGGAAACGCGTTGGCCGACGATGGAAACGCTATTCGACACACAGCCTCGCTTCGCGAGCGGGATCGTCGTCGTCCGCGTCACTGGCATCGAGGAAAAACCGACGAGGCCTTCCCACAAGGCAGAAGTCAGCCTGGGGAATCAGGAGGAGGAGAGCGCTCCCGTCCCGCAAGGGGGGCCGGTCCTGGGGCGCGGGTCGGGGCCCCCCCGGGGGCCGCGCACGGGCAGAAGAACGGCATCGCGCGCACAGGGCTGTTTTTTTCTTTCTTTTTTATATACATGCTTTTTCAAAAAAAAAAAAACATATGTTTAATACATGGTTAATCTATGAATGAATGCATGCATGAACTCATCGTTGATTCTGATACTAAATCCCTGCATGTTCACACATGGTCCGCACGCGGAGCATGCGTTAGAAACGGCACTGCACGGTGACGGCACGGGAGAAGGAAGCCTTCGATGAGGAAGCCAGGGTCTGGAGGCCAGTGGGTAGCCCATCGTGGCTTGGCCATGGGGATCAGCGCCGCCCTCACCAGAGGAGGAACCCTCCAGGGTCTGAAGCCTCCTGGGCACGTTCCTTCACGAACGCCCCCAACGTATGGGAGATGGCAGGGTCGCGCAGCCAGAGCCTTGCCAGCAGCCGCCCAGGGCAATCTGGCAATGGTTGTTGGCGCAGGGCACGGAAGCGAAGTTGAGCATCCAAGCCGGCCAATCCAAAGCCTGGGATATCACTGCATCTACCTAGATTGCAATGGGTGACCATGGGTTACTATGGACTTCCTCCGATTGATCTGGCTTGATCCCTGCAAGTCGGTTGGAAGAAAGACGTCAAGCCCTCAGGGGCTGGCCTCCAAGAAATCCTTTCCTCCCGCTCCTCTTCCCTCCTCCTCGTCGTCCTCCTCCTCCTCCTCCTCCTCATCATCATCACCATCCTCATCATCATCATCATCATCATCATCATCATCAGCATCATCATCATCCTCATCATCCTCAACATCCTCATCCGCATCCTCATCCTCATGATCATGATCATGATCATGATCATGATCATGATCATCATTATCATCATCATCATCCTCATCATCATCATATTCATCATCATCATGATCATGATCATCATCATCGTCATCATCATCATCATCATTATCATCATCATCATCATCATCATCATCATCATCATCATCATCATCATCATCATCATCATCATCATCATCATCGTCATCAGCATCATCATCAGCATCAGCATCGGCATCAGCATCAACATCAGCATCAACATCAACATCCATCATCCATCATCATTTCCTCGGTGGGGTCTGGGACCTTCAGCCGCACCCTGCGCCGCTTTTCGCCCAGCAGCCATCGCGGGGCGCCCCTGCATGCCCGCCGTGCGAAGTGCAAACGGCAAAATCAGAAACTCTTTGCCCCCTCCCCCCCTGTGGCATGAGGCAAGCGGGTCCTCCCAGGACCAGCCCTTCCACTGGAGCCGTCTTCTGACGGCCCCTGTTGCCTGTGGAGAGAGGCCCCTCGGAGCCAGAAGCAGCGAAAAACCTCTGGACGCGTTTCCTCCAGGACCCCTTTCCCTCAAGGTGCGCTTTCCTCGCCGACGTCGCGCCCCCCTTCTCCCCCCGCCGTCCTCCCCTTCGCTCCCCCCTCCCCATCCTCATCCCTCCATCCGGGGGGCCACCCCCCTCCCAATCCTCATCCCCCTCGTTCCCACGCTCCTCCCTCATCGTCCCTTCGCCCTCCCCCCGCTCCTCCTCCTCCTTCCTCCTCCTCCTCCTCCTCCTCCTCCTCCTTCCTCCTCCTCCTCCCCCTCCTCCTTCCTCCTCCTCCTCCTCCTCCTCCCCCTCTTCCTCGCCCCCTGCTCCTCGGCCCCCCGTGGGCCCGAACCTGGCCGAAGTCGGCGGGCTCACACCCCCCATCCCGGTCCATAGGCCAGGGGGGCGGCCCGGACTGCGAACAGGAAAGGGAGGGCCACGAAGGGCACCCTTCCTGCATGGTGACCTCCTCCCATGAGATCCTGGCGTCTCATGCTTTCGAACCTGGGCGTCTCGTCCGAGACTCGGGGCCCTGGTCTCTCACAGAGCGATCTTGCCCGAACAAAAATGGCGCAGAAAGATGGCGCATCGGGCTCCGGTCGTGACGTTTCCCAATCGTGCATTCTTGCCGAGACGTCGGATCTCAAGGTGCCCACGGCGCGCTCTCCCGGGCGCGTTTTCCCGGGCGCGGCCCGGCAGATGCCGCGCACCCGCTGGCCCGCCGCGGCCGAAGCCCCGGCGGCGGAGGCGCGGGCTGCGCCCGCCTGGCCTCGTCGGCCGGCTCCGCCGAACAAAAAACAACGGCGGCGCGGGGAGGGGGGAAGGGGAGGGGAGGGAAGGGGGGGGAGGGGCTGGGGACCGAGGAAGGGGAGGAACGATCGGAGGGGCGGGGTGGGTGGTAGGACGGTGGGAGGGATGGGGTGGCATGGGAGGGAGGGGGGGGGAAGAAGGTTTTGCCTATGTTTTTCCTCCTCCTCCCCCTCCTATTCATGCTCCTCCTCCTCCTCCTCCTCCTCCTCCTCCTCTGGCTTCCCCTCCCTCTGGAGGGGGGACGACGAGGACGAGGATGACGTGGAGGAGGAGCAAGAGGAGGAGGAGCATAAGGAAGATGGGGGGAAGAGAAGGATGAGGATGACGATGAGGATGAAGAGGAGGAGGAGGAGGAGGAAGAAGAAGAAGAATAAGAGGAGGAGGAGAGAAAGGAGGAGGAGAAAGGAGGAAGAGGAATGAGGAGGATGAGGACGAGGAGGAGGAAGAGGGGGAGGAGAGGAAAAGGGTCAGCGGTCGTAGATGACATGAGGGAAGAGGAGGTGGAGTTGAAGGAAGAGGAAGGGGAGGAGGAGAAAGCAAAGTAAGGACCCGCTCGTGATGCACATGGATGCAGGACCCTCCGTGTGAAAATGAAGACCTGCCTGCCTGGAGCGACGGGGCCTGCCTGGCCTGGCCGCAGAGGCGTCGGCGAGGGGACACTCCGATGCTCGGCCGAGCACGCCCCATGAAAAGGAAAGGGGGGGGTCAGCAGGCCCACGCGGCGTAACCCCCGCCCGAGACCCTTGCAGCGGGAACGGAAATTCGACACAGACCTGGGGAACCACTACATGCTCACCTTCCTAGATGTTCCCTTTTTCCTGGGAGTCGCTATACGCTGGTCAGAAGAAGTACATCAAAAACATAAAGTGGGAAGGCAAATGAAGCAGGTTGGGTTCAGGCCCTCCCAGAGAAGGACAATCACAATCACACAGCAAAGCAGGTTGATTCTTTGACATTGAAAGACGCTCAAAGTAGATTGAGATCTGGGCTTTCAAACAAAAACTACTGTCAACGACCGTTGCGTATGGCGGGCGGTGGAACTTGGAGAGGGCGACCTGCTTGCGCCTGCGGCGGACGCGCTGGCGGCGCATCGACGCGCGGGCGTTCAAGTGGACGAAGGTTGCAGGCGAGGAGCCTTCGGGCGTCAGCCCTGACGCCCCGGGGCAACTCGGGCCCGGGGTAACTCGGGTTTGGATTCCCGAAAAAGGAACCCGAGTTAGCCCTGACCCGAATTATCCCTGATGATCTGGGGCTCTGGACGCCCGAGTTATCCGGGGTAACTCGGGCCCGGGGCAACTCGGGCTCGGATTCCCGAACAACCAACCCGAGTTAGCCCTGACCCGAGTTACCCTTGATGATTCGGGGCTCTGAAGAATGGCGGGGTCAGCCTGGCCGCGGATGTCGAGGCGGACAACGGGCATGGCGTTGCTGCGGACAGCGCCCCTGTTGCGGGTGGCGCGCCACTGCGTGTTGGAGTGCTGGTGCTGGAGCAGCGCCTGCAGCTTCTTGTGTCGCATCCTGGCGCGGACTCGCTTCGGCGACTTACTTGTCTGGGTTGAGGTAGAGGTCGACGCGCTGCCCAGTGGTGCCCGCGGAGACGAAGCACTCCCACTTGCCAGCGGCATCACGAAGGGCTCTTTGGAGGGCGAGAGCGCGCGTGGAACGGCGACTTATCGGGCCCCTTCTGACTTGAAGAATAAAGCGGCGGGCGGGTTCGTTCTCCGTTAAGTTCGACGCGGTCGAATGGAGGGCCTGCGCCGCCGATCCCCTCGTGCTGACCGTTGGGAAGGACTTCGGGCGAGGCGGTGCGCCGGCAGCCGGCGGTGGAGAGCGCGGGGTCCTGTGCAAGGCCCCACTCGGCGAACCGCGCGAGCTCCATGATCGGGACCTGCGCCTCCGCGAGAGCGAAGGTGCCGCGCATCTGCTCGATGTGTTGCCACACACGTTGTTCTTCGGCAGCTTGACGATCCGGCTCGCGACGGGCGTGTGCGACCGAGTCCACAAGGTTGTCCACTCGGCGCTGTCTGGAGAACTTGCTGCTGGAGGAGGGAACGGGAACTTTCCCGAGACTGTGCGGGAAGTGTCGGCGGCGTGGGCAACCTGCTGCTGCATGTGGTTCTGATTTGGACGCCCAAAAGGGGTACGGAAAAAAGGGTACAATGCCGAAGAACAATTGTTGTCCCAAACCAACAGCGGGCGCTGTTGGGCATGCGGCCTTCTGCCTCAAATGGACACAGGCCGTGGCGGCGCGGACAGCGAGTCCTGTTCAAAATGAACAGGAACTGCTGTTGGGCATTGTACCCATTCTTTCCGTACCCATTTCGTTCGTGCAGACCTGAGGGGCGGCGTCCAGCTCTTCGGGAAGGCCCAGAACTCGGACGGCAGAGGTGGAGCCAGGGGTAGGATGCACATCGCCACGGGCAGCGGGAGCCTCCGGGCGGCCATTTCCCTGCGGACGCTCTTGCGATGGCGGCAAGCCTGTCCAGGCCGACGGCCAGACGCAAAGGCTGCAGGGGTTCTTGGCCCCGACGCGCTTGTGTCGGGAAGGTGGCGAGATTGTGGATGTCGGCTGCCAGCTGCGAAGTGCGCCATGGGTTTTATCCTTGGAGGGGAACGCACAAGTTTGCCGACGCGAAGCCATACTCTGGTTAGCTCGCGTGCATGGTGCCCAAATTACCTGATGACTTGCACTCGCACTGCGATGCGTTCGTAAGTCACTAGCAAGGTCTGCATCGGAGTACTGCCGGATCGAGACATGATCCATGTTGTCGCCTACCCACGAGGTCATTTTGTACAGGGTCGTGGACTTGGGTCTCGTTGGGCGCCTTCACCTGGGGGGCCAGCGGATGCAGGGCGACCCGAGGAGCGACCCGTGCGGGCAGCTCGCGGTGCCGCGCGGCCCGAGGGGCGTCCCGAGGCCTCCTCCTCCTCCTCCTCCTCCTCCTCCTCCTCCTCCTCCTCCTCCTCCTCCTCCTCCCCCTCCCCCTCCCCTGCGGGGGCACCGCGGGGGTGCTTCCGCTCGCGGGCACTCGGCTTCCTTGCGGCGGCCACGGTCACAGTGCTCTGCTGGATATGCTGGCGCTGGAGTCGACGTCTGGGAGCCTGCGGCGAGGGAAGGCTGCGCGATGCCGAGCGCTCGCTGCCGCTGCAACTCTCGCTGCCGTCTGCCGCGGCTCCCATGCGGTCGGGAAGAGCAGGCTGCTGCTTGGGGAGAGCGAAGGAGCCCAAGGACACACAAATAAATACACACAAATTAAACTATTCCCCATATTTTCATATATATATATATATACACACACATATATACAGATATATGTATATATAAGGTTTTTGTCTCCCCCCACTTCCCATATTTCCCCATATCTTATATTTAGGGTTTTTGTCTCCCCCCACACTTCCCATATTTCATCATATTTTCCTGGGGATCGACGATGAATCATGTCTGTGTGTTCTTTCCCCTCCTAAGAGAGGGTGTGCTAGACCTTGCCAACGACACGGGGCGATGCGCTGCCGGAGCGCGGCGGCGGGGAAGTCGGTGGAGGGACCAGCGGCGCCGCGGGCGACATGAAGGGTTCGGGGCGGGGCTCGGCGAGCGATGTAGAAGGCTCGGAGCGGTGCATGACGAGAGGATATGGACGGCTCGGAGCGAGGCTCGACAAGCGGGTATGGACGGCCGCCTGAAGCGCCCGAGCGAGGAGGAACATCTGAGGCGGGACGGGCAGCTGTGAGCCCCTTGTTGTGGCGGCTGGTCAGCGAGGACTGGTGGGAGCTTACCCCGTGGAGGAAGTGAAATGGGCACCATCTTGGCCTTGAGCCAACATGGCTAGGGAGGAGGAAGAGGAGGACAAGGAGGAGGAGGAGGAGGAGGAAAAGGAGGGGGCACGGCTACCCTTCCAGGAAGGCAGCAATCAGCTCGGCCGTCCTCCTCGGCTGCTCCAAGTGCGGCACCTCCAGCCCAGTCCCCCGGGGGATGGCCCGATGCTGCCACCGCAGGCCAGCTTCCGAGGGGTCGCACACTCAAAGTGGCTCCCATGCTCATCCTCTTCCCCGCCTCTATTCATCCTCCTCGTCCTCCCCCTCCTCCCCTTCCTCTCAGAGCCCCATCCACGCGACGTTGAAAACGGAAATATTATGACGGAAAAATGCCACCAGCCCTTTGGGCGTAGGTGGTCTGGGGAGTTTCCTCTTCCAACCCCCTTATTTCCCCTTCGGGGAAGGGTTTATCACTGTTCCCCATTGATATACACCCCCTCCCCTGGGAGACTGGCAACCAGCCAGGGACGATGAGAACCCCATGAGGCCACCCCCCCACCATCCCTGCCAAAAAACAATACAAAATACACGGTGGGGCAAATTATGAAGCCTTGTTCGTGAGCCCGCGAGCACTTTGTATTGTGTTTTGACAAAGACGGCGGGGGTGTCAGCATAGGGCCCGCTGCGCGCAGGGCTGCCATTCCAGACACAAAAACAATACAAAATACACCTTGCGGCTGAATCTGGATCAAGCGCAACCACCCCACGATCACTGTCAAGTGGTGGCGTATGGCCTGTTGCGCGCAGGCACACCAGGCACAATGATGGGCATTGGCTTTCGACATGGATGGTGGGGGCCAACATGTTTCCCGATGTGTGCTGTCACGTGCTGAGGCGCACCTGACACATTCTGCACGTGCGCCGAACGTGGCGCACCTGGCGCGGCTGGAGTATGCGGCACACCTGGCGCACGCGGAGGCACGTGGCGCATCTGGCGCACCAGGCGTGCCTGGCACGCTCGGGCCCCAGGTGTGCCTGGCGCGCGTGGCGCGCCTGGCACGCGTGGCGCATCTCGCCCCAGCGTCGCGCACATGGGCTCGATGTTGGTTCCCAGTAGCTCTCCATCCAAAGACGATCGCTGAACATGCTGAGTCTCGGGCGTTACTTCTGTGTTGGGAGGGCGGGTGGGGGTGAGCTAGACGGTCTGCTATCTAGGAGGTTGTCTTGACCCCTCCCCCTGCCCCCTCCCCTGGACCTGGACGGGGGCGGTCGCGAGGTGTCAGAGGGTACGTGTTCGCCCAAGACGGCCCCACTAGGGCCTCAGAGAACCCAATATGACCTTCAAGATGGCTTGAGATAGCCAACCATGCACCAAGATTGCTTCCAAGATGCTCCAAGAGGCCCAAAGACCGCCCCAAGACGGCTCCAAGTGGCCAATGAGCTACCCAAGGAGGCCAACATCCTTCCAAAACCTCAGGGAGATCAATGTTATGTTGTGTTCTCGCCCGTTCGCTTTCGATAGCCTTCCGAGGCCTCAAGATGGCTCCAGAATGGCCCCAGAGAGCCCCGACAGAGGCCAAAGAGGGCCCCAAGACGGCTCCACGAGCGCCTGAGAGCGCACCTAGAGCGCTCCAAGAAGGGTCCAAGAGGCGATGTTCTGGGCTCCCGATGGGGGGGCCCTAATAAAGGACACCCCCTTCTTTGATCGATCTCCTCTAAGATGCCCCCAAGACCGCCCCAAGGCTCCCAAGAGCGCCCTCAGCGGGCCCCAAGAGGCCCCCAGAGAGGCACCCAAGACGCTTCAAGAGGCCCCCGGGACCGCCAAGGGGCCCCAAGACGCTCCAGAAGCCTCCAATTATGCTAACGGAGTTCCCCACATAATGATGTTTTTGGGCTAGCGGGATCAAGCAACATTTTGTAGAGAAATTGCCGACCTGCCCTCGCCCTCTCCATCCTTTTCTATCACATGGTTTGCGAATACCCTCCTCGCTCATGCGGGGCTTCCCTGGAGGGGTGGGACGGGCACGGAACCTGATAAATAGCACTGTTCGCGAATACCCTCCTCGCTCAGACGGGGCCTCCCTGGAGGGTGGGAGGGGCAGGAAATCTGATAAATAACACTGTGTTCGAATAGCGTCCTCGCTCAGGCGGGGCCTCCCTGGAGGGGTGGGAGGGGCACGAAACCTGAGAAATAACAGGTGATGCGAATACCCTCCTCGCTCAGGCGGGGCCTCCCTGGATGGGGTGGGAAGGGCACGAAACCTGATAAATAACAGGTGATGCGAATACCCTCCTCGCTCAGGCGGGCCTCCCTGGAGGGGTGGGAGGGGCACGAAACCTGATAAATAACAGGTGATGCGAATACCCTCCTCGCTCAGGCGGGGCCTCCCTGGAGGGGTGGGAGGGGCACGAAACCTGATAAATAACAGGTGATTCGAATACCCTCCTCGCTCAGGCGGGGCCTCCCTGGAGGGGTGGGAGGGGCACGAAACCTGATAAATAACAGGTGATGCGAATACCCTCCTCGCTCAGGCGGGGCCTCCCTGGAGGGGTGGGAGGGGCACGAAACCTGATAAATAACAGGTGATGCGAATACCCTCCTCGCTCAGGCGGGGCCTCCCTGGAGGGGTGGGAGGGGCACGAAACCTGATAAATAACAGGTGATGCGAATACCCTCCTCGCTCAGGCGGGGCCTCCCTGGAGGGGTGGGAGGGGCACGAAACCTGTAAATAATCCGATACCCTCCTCGCTCAGGCGGGGCCTCCCTGGAGGGGTGGGAGGGGCACGAAACCTGAATAACATCGAATACCCTCCTCGCTCAGGCGGGGCCTCCCTGGAGGGGTCCCTGGAGGGGTCAGGCGGGGCCTCCCTGGAGGGGTGGGAGGGGCACGAAACCTGAGAAATAACAGGTGATGCGAATACCCTCCTCGCTCAGGCGGGGCCTCCCTGGAGGGGTGGGAGGGGTGGGAGGGGTATTGGTATGGTATGGTATTGGTATGGTATGGCTTGGTATGGCTTGGGATGTTATTGGTTTGGTATGGTATGGTATGGTATGGTATTGGTATGGTATGGTATGGTATTGATATGGTATGGCTTGGTATGGCTTGGTATGGTATTGGTATAGTAAGGTATTGGTATGGTATGGCTTGGTATGGTATGGTTTAGGAGAAGGACGCGGGAGGAGGAGGAGAAGGAGAGGGTGTTCTGGGAAAACAAGAACCCCACTCAAGATGTGGGGAAAAAGCTTCCAAGAGACATCCGAAGAGACTCTGAGAGGCAACTCGCCTGAGCATCGTTTCTGGATGGACTGGTGGAACATTTTTTTTGGTCGCGGCCGCGAGCGAAGAGCACACGCGGCGAAAGCAAATGTTCGGGGCAACGACCAAGGCTGATTAGCTAGAAGACGCGCCGCAGGCCGGCCGGCCCACTGGTGGAAAATACATTTTTTGATTTGCGGCCCGCAAGGAAAAGTCCAGAGGGCGGTATGAGGCAAAGGGGCGCAATGCCAGAAGATTACCATGCAAAATCACTGGGCGGATGCCAGCGGAAGAGAAGCTGCCACAGGTGGACAACAAACGAACACAAGCCAGACCCGCAGGTGGGGAAACCTGACCGGTGGTGGAAAATACGCGAAGCGTCACGAACTTCATTTGTCCTGCCTCCTCTCATCGGAGCCCCAGGGTCCGTAGGAAACAAGTCAGGGTGGAAAGCTCAATCCAGGGAGTGAACCCTAGACTTGGGGCCGACGTTGCAAACCAATCAAGACGTCGAAGGTCTAGGCATCCCTCCGCCCCGCAGACACCAAGTCACCCTGCTCCGGACTGCGTAGCCCATAAAAGGTGGAAACCCGGCGCCCAACACATCGCCTCCTCCGCCTCTTCGGCCACGCTGGGCCGCGCGCCGCGAGCGCTTGCCTCTTCACGAGCAATTGCGCTAGCGCTGGCCCCCGCCACCGGCAGTTCCCGACGCCTAATAACTCAGACGTGGCAGCATCGCTGCCCTCGGCAGCAGCCCTGATAACTCTGACCGTGGTACCTCTACCGCACCATGTGCACAACGACCTTGCGTGCTACCATCCACTGCTGCGTAACATTCCTACGAATGAGCTGCCGCAAAGCCGTCCATGGACACAACCTGCGAGACCACACATGCAGTAGCGGGATCGACGGGCGCCGTGTAGATTGAGATGCCGTGCGCTGCAACGTGGCACGCTTCAGCAATTCGAAGAAAGCGTTCAGCTTTGATAAGCAGTATCGCATCTCAGCAGAACGCGGGGAAACCTAATAAGCAAGATGAGGGCAGCACGGCATCACTCTCTGAAGACACGCCTGATACTACAATCACTACGCAGCACAGCGACAATGTCCGAGCAGCACCACGACATGCGCAGTCTTAAAACCAATCAGGAGCACACCCGAAATACACCTAGATCGGCCAACTCCAGATGACAATAAAAAGAAGCATCCTCGCGACCTCCTCACACACATACGCACGCGCCTGGAAAGCCAGATGCGACAACAACGACCTACATGCAAAGAAAAATCGCAACAGCTGGGAGAGTCGACAATCAGGGCGAATTTGGGCAACGGCAGCTCAAAATCGGTCCCGGATCCCTCCTGGGGTCCAAGCGTACTGGTCTTCCGAGCTGCGTCGAGCCGTGGCGCCAACACCCCCCCCCCAGAAGTCCAACAACCGTTGTCCTTGGTCTCAACGCGCCACCCTCCGGGATAGGCATCTATTCTTCGGTCGGGCATGTCCTCCTACAGGCGGATTTTGGACGAAAAATCAAACATATTCAAAAAATGCTCAAAACTTGTCAAAACAGACTAGAAGAATCGTCCCCAGACCAGTTTGCGAATATCCTTGAAGAGTCCTCCTGTAGAGGGGCAGGCCCGACTCGAAGATAGGCACAGGTTCGTTCCCCTCCCACGTGGCCGCACTCGGCAATCCACTCCGCCTGCACTGGCCCGCGTATCTCCTCCACGAAGCGGGGGACGTTCTCCTCCCCGTTCAAGATCTCGTCCTGCTCCCCCCAGAGCAGCAGCGTCGGCACGCGCACCTCGACCGGGGCAGGCAGGGCCGTCGTGCCGGCCGGCCGGGCCAGAGGCAAGATCCAACCGCTCGCAGAGAGTCCACGTCGGAGCAAGGCCGCCGAGTGCCGAGCGGCGCCCCCGCGGTCAGGAACCCTATGCCCTGACCCTGCACCATAACCCTAATCCCTAATATTCATCACTGCTCCCTATTAATAAACCTCCCTTGCCCCAGGCGACTGGGGGCCAACCAGGGTCCATGACAACCCCCCCCAGCATCCCTTGTAAAAAACCATACACGACACACTCTGCCTCCAAATTCGGAACATGCGCAACCAACCCGATGCGGCCCCCCCACCATCCTTATCAAAAAACAATACAGAGTACACTTGGCGGCGGCGGCGGCTGCGGCGGCTGCGGCGGCGGTGGCGGCGGCTGCGGCGGCTGCGGCGGGGGGCCTGCGGCGCCTGCGGCGCCGGCGGCGGCGGCGGCAGTGGCGGTGGCGGTGGCGGCAGCGGCTGCGGCGGCGACGACGTTTGGCAGCGGGGGGCGGCGGCGGCGGCGGCGGCGCGGCGGCAGGCGGCGGCGGCAGGCGGCAGGCGGCGGCGGCGGCGGCGGCGGGAGGCCGCGGCGGCGGCGGCGGCGGCGGCGGATTGGCCCCCAGTAGCTGCCCATCCAAAGACGACTGCTGAATGTGCTGAGGCTCGGGCCAGACTCGGGTGCTACGTATGTGTTGGGAGGGCGGGTGGGAGTGAGCGAGACGGCTTGCGGGCGGGGAGGGGGTCTTGACCTTAAATTTCTAATCCTATAATTATTAAATCCTTAATAACCTAAAAGCGGTCGTTGTGCAACCCCGCTCCATCTACTGCAAAAATTATCCCGGCAAAGCAACCTAACAGCCATGTGTAGGACCTGGCCGGGGCAGCCGGCCGCCCTCCCCTCCTGCTCGTCCTCCTCCTCCTCCTCCTCCTGCTCGTCCTCGTGCTCCTCCTGCTCGTCCTCTTTCTCCTGCTCCTCCTCCTCCTCCTCCTCCTCCTCCTCATTTTTCTCCTGCTCCTCCTCCTCCTCCTCCTCCTCCTCTTCCTCCTGCTCGTCCTCGTTCTCGTCCTCCTCGTCTTGCTCGTCCTCCTCCTCCTGGTGCTCTCCTCCTCCTCCTCCTCCTCCTCCTCCTCCTCCTCCTCCTCCTGGTGGTCCTCGTTCTCCTCCTCCTGGTGCTCTCCCCCCCCTCCTCCTCCTCGTCCTCCTCCTCCTCCCTCGTCCTCCTCCTCTTCCTCCTCCTCCTCCTCCTCCTCCTCCTCCTCCTCCTTCCTCCTCCTCCTCCTCCTCCTCCTCCTCCTGGTAGTCCTCCCCCTCCCCTCCTCCTCCTCCTCCTCCTCCTCTTCCTGGTCGCCCTCGTTCTCGTCCTCCTCGTCTTGCTCGTCCTCCTCCTCCTGGTGTTCTCTCCTCCTCCTCCTCCTCCTCCTCCTCCTCCTCCTCCTCCTCCTCCTCCTGGTGGTCCTCGTTCTCCTCCTCCTGGTGCTCTCCCCCTCCCCTCCTCCTCCTCCTCCTCCGTCCTCCTCCTCCTCCTCCTCCTCCTCCTCCTCCTCTCCTCCTCCTCCTCCTCCTCCTCCTCCTCCTCCTCCTCCTCCTCCTCCTCCTCCTCCTCTCCTCCCATCCTCCTCCTCCTGGTAGTCCTCCCCCTCCTCCTCCTCTTCCTGGTCGTCCTCCTCCTCCTGGTCGTCCTCCTCCTCCTGCTCGTCCTCCTCCTCCTCCTGCTCGTCCTTCTTCTCCTGCTCCTCCTGCTCCTCGTCCTGCTCCTGCTCGTCCTCGTCCTCCTGGTCTTGCTTGTCCTCCTCCTCGTCGTGCTCTTGCCCCTGCTGAAAGTGTGGTCCAGGAATGGGAGTTCTAGGAAGTCGAAGAGCACGAAGTTGCCTACAGTTGGCTACGGGCATCCCAAATCTGGCCCGGGAATGGAGTTCTGGGAACTCGAAGACCACGAAGTGGCCTACAGTTGGCTCCGGGCATCCAAAATGTGGCCCGGGAATGGAGTTCTGGGAACTCGAAGAGCACGAAGTGGCCTACAGTTGGCTCCGGGCATTCAAAATGTGGCCCGGGAATGGAGTTCTGGGGACTCGAAGACCACGAAGTGGCCTACAGTTGGCTCCGGGCATTCAAAATGTGGCCCGGGAATGGAGTTCTGGGAATCGAAGAGCACGAAGTGGCCTACAGTTGGCTCCGGGCATTCAGAATGTGGCCCGGGAATGGAGTTCTGGGAGGTCGAAGAGCACGAAGTGTGCGACTGTTTGCTTAAAACGACTTCTGCGGCACCCTGTCCGGCACCCGCCCAGACCCCCCTGTGGAGTCATCTGCTGCTCTCTTTTGAAACCACTAGAAACCTATCAGTCTTCGCTGTTAGGTAAATAGCATTTCCTGAGCATGCGTGCAGAATCCCCTACTGTTTACAACACAAAGTGCCCAGTCCCCGTCGCGACCCGGGTCCATCTACGGCAAAAAAATTGCATTTCCTGCGCATGCGTGTCGAATCTCTTATTTTTTACAGCACAAACTGCCCAGTCCCCGTTGCAACCCCGTTATGTAAACCCGCTCCATCTACGGCAAAAAAAACATTTCCTGATCCTGAGCATGCTCCATCCTGAGCATGCGTGCAGAATCTCATGTATTTTACAATAAAACATGCGACCCCCTTATGTACACCGCCCCCATATCCTGGACAACCTCGCGCTTCCTGCGCATGCGACCAGAATCTTTAGCCCGTTGGAGCACTCGCGTGCCAACTGGATCGCACATCCGTCGTCGCCGTCGTCGTCGTCGTCGTCGACGTTGCACTCGCTGTGGTTCTCCCGAGGGGAGAGATGATCTTTATGGTGGGGTGGCGTGCGGGTGGGAGTGACGGCCACCGCAGGTGGGTTCGCGGTCCAGGTGTACTCGTGGCCACGCCTAGTAGACCCTAACCCTAACCCCATCGACCCTACCCTAAGCCCTACCCTAGCCCTAACCTGTACCCTAACCCCCACCCTAACCCCTAACCCTAACCCCTACCCTAAGCCCTAACCCGGACCCAAGGCCTGATGCTAATCCTAGCTGATGCGCAGCGTGTCGCGGCGGCGGCCCCGGCGACGTGCCGTTCCAGCGGGCAGCGTGTCGCTCGGCCTCGCAGGGCGGCGGGCTGGGAAGCGCTCGGGATGCGGGCACATGGGCATGAGAACGTGGTTCGAGTGTCGCTCCGAGGCCTGGTACAGTCGGGGCGTTGACCTAAGGAACGAAAAATTATCCCGGCAAAGCAACCTAACAGCGATGTGTAGGAGCATATCTGGAAGCATTCCCCTTAAGATTCAGATGAGAACCCAGTTGTAGAATTGTGCTGTTCTCGCAGTCGTAGTCGCATTCGCGATGACAGTCGCAGTGGCAACGGCAGTCACAGACACAGCCTCAGCCTCAGCCTGCCTCAGCCTCAGCCTGCCTCAGCCTCAGCCTGCCTCAGCCTCAGCCTCAGCCTGCTTCAGCCTCAGCCTCAGTCTGCCTTCAGCCTCGGCGTCAGCCTCAGGCTGCCTCAGCCTCAGCCTGCATCAGCCTCAGCCTCAGCCTCAGCCTGCCTCAGCATCAGCCTGCCTCAGCCTCAGCCTCAGCCTGCCTCAGCATTCAAAATGTGGCCCGGGAATGGAGTTCTGGGAACTCGAAGAACACGAAGTGGCCTACAGTTGGCTCCGGGCATTCAAAATCATGCCCAGGAATGGAGTTCTGGGAACTCGAAGACCACGAAGTGGCCTACAGTTGGCTCCGGGCATCCAAAATGTGGCCCGGGAATGGAGTTCTGGGAACTCGAAGAGCACGAAGTGGCCTACAGTTGGCTCCGGGCATTCAAAATGTGGCCCGGGAATGGAGTTCTGGGGACTCGAAGACCACGAAGTGGCCTACAGTTGGCTCCGGGCATTCAAAATGTGGCCCGGGAATGGAGTTCTCTCGAAGAGCACGAAGTGGCCTACAGTTGGCTCCGGGCATTCAAAATCGCCCGGGAATGGAGTTCTGGGAAGTCGAAGACACGAAGTGGCCTACAGTTGGCTCCGGGCATTCAGAATGTGGCCCGGGAATGGAGTTCTGGGAGGTCGAAGAGCACGAAGTGTGCGACTGTTGGCTTAAAACGACTTCTGCGGCACCCTGTCCGGCACCCGCCCAGACCCCCCTGTGGAGTCATCTGCTGCTCTCTTTTGACCCCACTAGAAACCTATCAGAACAAGCTGTTAGGTAATAAGGAACGAAGCCCCTTTTTCCCATACGTTAACTCAGATTGCCCATGGAAAACCTCAGGCAAACCCAAGGAGCACTGTAAAGCAACTAAGGAACACGGAGCCCCTCCCCAACAAAAAGGGTTCCTTCTTCAGGGCCCCGACTGTAGGCCAGAGTCAGCGGAGCAACTCGCTGAGCCAGCGTTCTTGACCTGATGTAGCCAATACGAGTGCGCTCGCATGTGAGAATGCTCCGCAAGCTAGCGTACACACCGCTGCTGCACCTGGCCGCCGATTGGCTCGAACTAGTGCTCATGAACTCGCGGGGTCAGCCGTCTTGTGCCACAACGTTCCTCGAATATCTCCCAGACTTGCGAGCGACGCGCTCAGCACCTGCTTTGTCCCAGCGAGACCTGCACGCGAATTCCTCGACTCGCCCACGAGTGCAGGTGAGTTGCAACTTCCATCATTTACGTGCGCGCGGGCATAACCTCTGAACGTCGGTGCGCACGCGCGCCAGGCCCCGCAGGCACGCACCTTTTCGAAGGGGCTGCGAACTTGAAAGCTGCAACCCGCCACGCCAGCAAGACCCACGCGTCACAAGTTCCTGCCTCGACGACGCGGGCCCTCGTTTGGGGACCCCGCGGGGACCGCTCAATCTTGAACGACCCCCGCTCTCGGAGGTCCCCAGAAGCTGTCGAAACCATCTTTCGTTTGGGCTTCGCGTTAGGGGCTGCTCTCTCAGGGTCACGGCGCGCGAGGCAAGCTCCACAGAAGGTGCTCAACATTGAACGCCCGAACTGGGGTTGCCGCGCGCGTTGAAGCGGCGTCATGTCATGGCGACGTGTGCGTCTGTTGCTGACACCGCGCGGGTTGTCAAACCACGACCGATAGCGGCGTTCCGACAGCGTAGATCGTTCGAGGTAGGCCGATTCTAAGCCACTGGTGGCATTCAACATTTTACGTCCGCCCCAACTTGGACGCCGCGTTGATGCGGCGCGAACCTGCCGTAACCGAAAGCCGAACGTAAGGATCACCGACCGGCAGAGGCTTCGGCATGGGGGCGGAACGGACCCGAGGCCTTTGAGGGGTGGGGAGCGACAGAAGAAAACCTTGTGTGGAGAGCGGCGGTGCACAGAGAGAGAAGACACATAAGAGGTAGAGAGATAGACTGTAACGGCATACGCATGTGCATGTACAGAGAAAGAGAGGTCGCATCTCGATCTTTTCCACCCTCCCATCCTCATCTTTCTCCTCAAATCCATTCCGTCCCCCCCCCACCCCCCTCTCCCATCCGCATCGTTGCCGTCCTCTCGAAAAGAGGTGTGGCCGTGGCCAGAGCACCTGGCTGACCAGGGGCGACAACGTGTAGCCGCCAGAGTTCAGATAGTTCAGGCTCGCCTCCGACCAGGTGTCCAGTTCAACGTGCAACCTTTTGGGGGACAGGAGGCGAGGAGGAGTCTGAGGACGAAGGGAGGAGAAGAAAATAATCTGGGGACGTACCCAACCCTTTATACACCATGTGGCGAGTATACATCGGTTCGCTCAATACCAAAGCAATCATTGAATGAGTCCGCAATGCCCTTGAACGCTTCGCCATAGAACGTCGGGCCATAGCCAGATGTTTCACATACGCAGCGTCACTCTTAAGAGTCCGGTCGTTGGCAGGAGAGCGACCACGAGGGGGCGTGGAAGCATGTGGAGGAGGAACGATTGGAGACAGACTTCGTGGGAGTAGCAGTGCCTTGCGGTGTGTTCGCATTGCAGGACAGCGCTCTGCGCGCTATGACAATACAGCGCCTTGCGCTAAACGTCACATGTGCCCGCGTTTATTACAAACACCAGGCAGCTGAAGAAGGGATACGGCACGGGCAACGGACAGCGCCATGTGCTATTCGCTGCGCGGCGCTCGCACGCGCCGCGTCACTCCGCTGGCCTTCCCAGAAGCCCACCTGAACCCCCTAGGGGACGGCAAGGTCTCGTGGTGATCTGCGTATGACGTACCCCCGCTGGCCTTCCCAGAAGCCCACGAAAGTGACGACAGTGTCGCAAATCGCAGCCCCCCCCCCCCCAAGAGGGGGCGGCGAGGTCTCGTGATGATCTGCGTATGACGTACGTCCGCTGGCCCTCCCAGAAACCCACGAAAGCGACGACAGTGTCGCAAATCGCAGCCCTCCCCTCAGGGGACGGCGAGGTCTCGTGGTGATCTGCGTATGACGTACTTCCGCTGGCACTCCCAAAAGCCCAGGACAGTGGCGACAGTCTCGCAGATCGCAGCCCCCCCCAGGGGACGGCGAGGTCTCGTGGTGATCTGCGTCTGACGTACCTCCGCTGGCCCTCCCAGAAGACCACGAAAGTGGCGACAGTGGCGCAGATGGCGGCCCTCCAGGGGACGGCGAGGTCTCGTGGTGATCTGCGTATGACGTACCTCCGCTGACCCTCCCAGAAGTCCACGAACGTGGCGACAGTCTCGCAGATCGCAGCCCCACCAGGGGGCGGCGAGGTTTCGTAGGGGATCTGCGCATGACGTACCTCCGTTGGCCCTCTCAGGAGCCCACGAAAGTGGCGACAGTCTCGCAAATCGCAGCCCACCCCCCAGTAACGGCGATGTCTCGTGGTTATCTGCGTATGGCGCACCTCCGTTGGACCTCCCTGAAGCTTACGAAAGTGGCGACGGTGGTGACAAGCGCAGCCCCCCCCCAGGGAACGGCGAGAAGCCCACGAACGTGACGACAGTGTCGCAGATCGCAGCCCACAAGGGGACGGCCAGATCTCGCTGTGATCTGCGTATGACGTGCCTCCGCTGGCCCTCCCAGAAGCCCACAAAAGTGGCGACAGTGTCGCACACCGATGTCCCTCCCAAGGGACGGTGAGGTCTCGTGGTGATCTGCGTATGACGTGACTCCACTGGCCCTCCCAGAAGCCCAGGACAGTGGCGACAGTCTCGCAGATCGCAGCCCCCCCGCGGCGAGGTCTCGTGGTGATCTGCATATGACGTACTCCCGCTGGCCCTCCGAGAAGCCAACGAAAATCACGACAGTGTCGCACATCGCAGCCCCCTAGGGACGGCGAGGTCTCGTGGTGATTTGCGTGTGGCGTACCTCCGCTGGCCCTCCCAGAAGTCCACGAACGTGGCGACAGTCTCGAAGAGCCCAGCCCCCCCAGGGGGCGGCGAGGTCTCGTGGGGATCTGCGTGTGACGTACCTCCGCTGGCCCTCCCAGAAGACCACGAGCGTGGCGACGGTCTCGCAGATCGCAGCCCCCCCAGGGGACGGCGAGGTGTCTCGTGGCGATCTGCGCACGACGTGCCGCCGCTGGCCCTCCCAGAAGCCCGCGAACGTGGCAAGAGTGGCGCGGATGGCGGCCCCCCCCCAGGGTGACGGCAAGCTCTCGGGGTGATCTGCGTACGACCTACCCAGAAGCCCACGGAAGCGGCGACATCTTCGCACATCGCAGCGCCCCCCCCCCCCGGGGGACGGCGAGGTCCCAGAAGCGAACGACAGTGGCGACAGTGTCGCAGATCGCAGCCCCCCCCCCCCCGGGGCGGCGAGGCCCCGTGGTGATCTGCGTATGAGGTACCTCCGCTGGCCCTCCCAGAAGCCCACGAAAGTGGCGACAGTGTCCCAGCGCGCAGCCCCCCCAGGGAACGGCGAGGTCTCGTGGTGATCTGCGTATGACGTACATTCGCTGGCGCTCCCAGAAGCATACGAAAGTGGTGGCAGTTTCGCAGATCGCAGCTCCCAAGGGGCGGCGAGGTCTCGTGGTGATTGATCTGCGTATGACGTACCTCCGCTGGCCCTTCCAGAAGCCCACGAACGTGGCGACATGTTCGCAGATCGCAGCCCCGTCTAGGGCGACGAGGAGGAGGAGAAAGGAAGGAGGAATGAGGAGGGGGAGGAGTGAGTGAGTGAGTGAGTGAGTGAGTGAGTGAGTGAGTGAGTGAGTGAGTGAGTGAGTGAGCGAGGGAGGAGCGGGTGAGTGATGGAGACCACGGTGCTCTATTCAAAAAGACTGCCCAACACAGGTGGGTTGGGAGAAAAAGGAGGCGCAAACTAAATGGACTGAAGCGGAAAATGAAACACAATTGGGAGGAGGACGCGCGGACGGCTGGATGAGCTCGGGTCAGCTACAGCCCCTGCAGCAATGGGAGGCACTATGCCTCCGAATCCCTGACCTTCAGAAGCTCTCATCGCACGAACTGGGGCGGACGAGCGCATGGATCCCTACGCACAAGTTGGGCGCCCTGTGTGCTCCTGAGAAGTCTTCCCTCCTGGGCCCTGGCCAGCTGAGTGGCGCCCCCCTCTGGTGAGGAACTGTTCTCTTGCAGTGGCTTGACAAACCTCTGCTGTCTCGCTCTGCATGGGCGCCGCACTTGCGGTGAACCAGGAAAGTGGTAGGCTGCCCCAAGTGTTCATGATAGGAAAGCCCGTGCACCGTATGGTCCGACGCTGAATCCGACCGGCGCTTGCACTGACCAGGGCAGTGAGAAGCCCTGAAACCTGAAGCACCAAGCTTCTCTTGTGTGGGCTGAGCTGGCGACAGAGCGAACATCCCAAGCGCCCACTCATAAGAGTCATGGCGGACTGCCTGCGGGGGTCCTCAGGGGGCACGGTGGGAGGAGGAGGAAGAGGAGAAGAAGAAGAAGAAGCATAATAAGGAGGACGATGCTGAAACACCCCGCCATGCACGAAGCTCCTCGATGTTGAACACCTACACGCGGTGTGATCTCATGGCGGCAGACCTCCTGCTGAGGGTCCGAGAACTGCCTTCGAAACACTGCACAACACGATGAGGAACATAAACGTCGGCAACGCGCTGGGATATTAAGGAAGCGAGGGCAGTATCAATGGCAATTGAGAGGGCATAAATATGTTCCCCCGTGCTGGGGTGTGCCTGCATATAAATGCGCGGCCATGGGCCGTGGAAGGAATGGGAGGACCAAACAGCAAGGAGAGACGTCCATAGACGCACAGCAGCGGAGACAAAGATGGGACAACCGAGAGACTGCTTAAGTGAATCACCGTCTACAACCTAGCACCCGAACCTGCGCGAAAGGACCCCCGTCGGAACCGTCGGGAAGCGCACCAGGAGTCGCATAAGGTGTTCGGAGCACGAATTCCAAGAGGCTCAGGAAGGGCCCTACTAATGAACCTCAACTGAACCATGACATCATCCGCTCTAAACATGGGGGCTTCTCGGAACCAGTACTGGAACCTAGGCGAGGGAACAGCCGCGCACGATTCGCTAAAATGCAGGGGCCTCAGGGCATGCTCAGCTTTCTCCTGGCGCTCAGAACATGGTTCCCGCGAAGCCCTCGGGATAGTCTACGCACGGTCATACAGCACGATCGTGTGGTACAGAATGCTGTGGGCCCGCCCTTCTGGGAAGCCCGGGGGCCGAGTACGTTCCTCACTATTGGCAGCACGCTCGAGACATTTCCGTCCTCGATGGGAGGCATACGGTTATGTCGGGACGTGCTTTCAGGTCCGTCAGCACGTCGGCGGAGGAGGAGGCGGAGGAGGAGGAGCAGGAGGAGGAGGAGGAGGAGGAGGAGGAGGAGTAGGAGGAGGAGGGGGAGGGGGAGGGGGGGAGGGGGAGGGGAGAGGAGGAGGAGGAGGAGGAGGAGGAGGAGGAGGAGGAGGAGGAGGAGGAGGAGGAGGAGAGCACGTCGCCTGGGGGGACACCGTCCGTCAGCATCAGCCAAGAGCGACAATCGCGGCGTGCCTCGCACGCAATGTCGAGGTGTAAGTGCCTTGTAAACGTGGATGTTGCTGAAGCTCAGCACGGTATTTATGGTAGATATGGAATGACAGAGCGGTTAAATAGTTAGCACGCTCAAGGGAGATGGGATCGTACTCCCTGTCTACATTAGGAGGAGGAGGAGGAGGAGGAGGAGGAGGAGGAGGGAGGAGGAGGAGGAGGAGGGAGGAGGAGGAGGAGCAGGAGGAGGAGAGAGGAGGGGGAGGGGGAGGAGGAGGCGGAGGTGGGGGAGGAGAATGGGGGAGGGGGAGGAGGGGGAGGAGGAGGAGGCTCAGGGCCCGAGGAAGAGGCGGAGGGACCGCACGAAGCGATGGCCGCAACGGCCCCAGACGGGGGGGGGAAGGCTCTACGCGGGCGTGGCCGAGGTTGTGCTCCAGCGCGGGGCTGTGGCAGGCCGCTCTCCATAGCCTCCGCGGCAGATCCTAGGCACAGCTTGGCGGGCTGTTAATCCTGATCGAAACAACGCTTACCAGCTTCGCTAGGTTGAATTCCCTGCTGGGCGGCGGCCTTGACAAGGCCAAACGGTCGGCTGCGTCGTTGCATTCGGCCAGCCTAGAAGCTGCATTGCCTTTCAGTGTGCTGGTGGGCGGTCACCAGTAGGAACTACTCCCAGCCATGTAAACTCCTCCTCCAGCTAACACCTTGCACCCCGCCCAAAGATCACGCCTGGGGAAGTCGCTGTCGCCATGCAGCTGCACGATCCCTTTGATATCAGAGCACATGGTCTCCGTGCGGCTGGAACGTGTGGTGGCTGCGACTGCTGCGATGTGTGCGGCTCCTCCAGAGGACTGCACGAACATGTTGCCTACACGGTCACTGAAATAAGCAAAGGGCCGACCTTTACGCATGCACACTACCGCATGATGAGAGGCGCTGAGCACAGAGTGACCATGACTACTGCAATGACAGGACCGTCGATGAAAACCTCCCCATACACTAGACGCTCCCTCAAGCCTTACGTCGGGTCGCTCACACCAAACCTACCCGGGCTCGTTCCAAGAACCGTGGGGGGAACCCAACAACATCAGGAGCAAAATTACAGCCACGGAGGGGAGCAATGATGAAGAGAGAATCAGGAGAAGGCAAGACGGGATGGGGGGGGACGGATGTTTTTCCATGCGGCGGAAGCCTTGAAGGGCAGTCGTGGCCCTTCTTGTGGGATCCCGAACTGGGGTAGTACACCTGATGCGTGCGGTGCCCTTGGGTACACACCGCTCCGTCTGCGAGAGTAGGACGGAAGCGGAGGCATAGAAAATCGAGGAAGGGAAGGAGGGAGGAAGACGGCAAGGAGAAAGGATGGAAGGAAGGAACCAACTTTTTGAACACGTTGACGGCTTACGCGAGCACATCGCTGGAGGCCCTCATATACGCTAGCTCGTTGTACAACTGGCCAAGTATCAAGGGATAGGAAGCTCCCTACACCATGGAAACACTGAAAGGGTGAGGGGGAAGGAAGGGAGAGGAGGGAAGCGGAAGGATGGAGGAGAGGGGGGGCCGGGGCATGAGGGAGGGGGGGAGCTCCCCGCGCTGCCTGCCGATGCGGATCGCGTCGTCTGTGGCGTACTTCTCCTAGGGCGCAGAACCAATCAGCACGGCCACCTTTTGGAGTCCCAGGCCTCCGACGTCGTGATGCTGTCAACCCCCTCAGTTTTGTTCTCGTCCGATGTCAGTATCAGGGGGCCGCCTCATGAAATACTTACTCGGTACGGACTCGGTACGGCGGTCCCCGTATGTGCATCTCATTTTCCTGGCACAGCTCGCTGAGAGCTTCTAGCAGGGGGTGTCTGGTGTGAGAACGACTGCGGATGGACGACTGGCTCAACGACGACGGCAGCGGACACTACGATGCGTGGCATTGACGAAGACGACAACAGTGAGCAGCCCTCCCCCCCTGCTCTTTTCTCTGCGTGTCTGAGCGTGGAAAAAATCTGAACCTCTGTCGACTGAGCGAGAGGAAGTCCGATGGCATCAAGAAAAATAGGGCCTCGCATCAATCAGCACGAGTGCATCCCAACGGATACGCGCCGAAACGCGACCCAACGGGAGAGAACGAGTACGGCCCCAGCGGGTACGCGTCAAAGCATGGCCCAAATGAAACAAACATCCTGCTCCTCCACATCCACAGCCGAATCCTCCGTCATCCTGTCGTGGCGCGCCCGCTGCGGCCCATCCCCCCAGCGCGGCGAGGCGCCCGGCGCCGGCGAGGAGAGGGCCGCGCTGGCTGCGGCCACCTCCGCGCACGTCTGGCCCGCGCCCGCGCGGCTGCAGTCGCGATCCGACCCCTCGTCGCAGGCTGGCGGCGGGCCGGGCCCCCCATTCTGAAGCTCGACCCGGGAACTGGCACACTCCTGGCGGCTCCAACGCGGGGCGCCCAGGTGCCACGCCCGCATTGCCGCGAGGAGCAGCGGACCCCGGAAGAGGGACGATCAGGTAGCCACACAGTTTTTGATTCGCGGGTCGAGAGCGCGCCTCTTCCGATCGAAGCTAAGCGGGCCGCGCGAAGCTTGAATTAGCAAAGAGGGGGGGAAGGGAATGAGAGGCCTCACGGCAAGGCCAGGAGGAGGTAAAGCCTCGGGACCAGGCGGTGCCGAAAACGACGTGCTTGCAAAGGAACGCCTTGTATTTGGACGCCCGAAATTGGTACGGAAAGAATGGGCACAATGCCCAACAGCAAATGTTGTCCCAAACCAACAGCGGCCGCTGTTGGGCGGGCGACCTCCTGTCTCGAATGGACACAGGCCGCGGCGGCGCGGACAGCGAGTCCTGTTCAGAATGAACAAGAACTGCTGTTGGGAATCGTACCCATTCTTTCCGTGCCCATTTCGGGCGTCAAGATTGTACAAGAACCCGGTGGCGAAGTACCGGCAGAAGCAAACCCGCCCGAGACGTCCCCCCACGATCTGGGCGTGAACGGGCAGGCGTTCCCCTCCCACAGCGCCTGCTCCTTGGGGTGCCCAGTGGTGCCACGGCTCTGCGGCACTGCGGTGGGAGCTGGGCCCCGTGTAGGTGAGCCTGCGTGCCGGTGAGCCGGCGGTCAGTCAGTCTGAGTACAGTCGAGGCGTTGACCTAAGGAACCCTAAATAAGGAACGAGGCCCCTATTTCCCATAAGTTGAACTTCGATTTCGTATCGAAAACCTAAGGAAAGCCTGAGGCAAGCTGCGAAACACTTAAGGAACTCGGAGCCCCTCCCCAACAAAAAGGGTTCCTTCTTCAGGCCCCCGACTGTAGGAGTGAGTCTGAGTGCGCGTGGCTTGTGCTCTGTGTGACCGGGTAGCGAGTCCGAGTGTGAGTGGGTATGAGCTTGAGTGGTCAGGTTGTGGGTGGCCCCGAGTGCGCGAGAGTCTGGGGTGTAGATGAGACTGCGGGTGGGTGAGACTGAGTATGAGTGGGCCTGAGAGCATGACTGAACCTAAGTATGAGTGGGTCTGATTGTGAGCATGGGTGTGTCTGAACATGAGCGGGAGTGTATTCATGAGTGCGAGGAAGGAGACGGCAGGAGGATGAGGAGGAGGAGGTGTCACACCAATACCACCAGCCCTTCAGGGTGCGAGTGGTTTAGGGCGTTTCTCTTCCAACCCCCCTTCTTCCCTTTAGGGGATGGCTTTGATCATCCCCATCCACCTCCCCATGGAACTGGGGGGGGTCGCGATCCATTGGGGCGTCCAAGATGGCCTCGGCAAGAAGGCACAACTCATTGATATTACATTGGTGTTGAGCCCATTTGAGCCCCCTGGGGGGCTGTAATTTACCACCCCCTCTTCTTTGATCGATCTCGTCCAAAATGGCCACAAGATGGCCCCCGAGGCCCCGAAAGGTGCCACAAGAGCGCCCCAAGAAGGGCCCCAAGAAGCGCCCCAAGAAGAGGCCCCGGGTGGGTCGCGGGTGGCGGGGCGGGTCGCGGGGTGGGTCGCGGGTGGGGTCGCGGGTGGGTCGCGGGCGGGTCGCGGGGTGGGTCGCTGGCGGGTCGCGGGCCTGGTCGCGGGGGGGACGACGCCAAACAACAACAACAACAACAACAACAACAACAACAACAACAACAACAGCAGCAACAACAACAACACCACCACCAACAACAACACCAACAACAACAGCAACTACAACAACAGCAACAGCAATAGCAACAGCAACAACAACAAACGAACACCAACAATAACAACAACAACAATAACAACACCAACAGCAACAAACAATCAACAAGCAACCAAACAAACCAACAAACAAAAACACAAACAAACAAACAACTGCAACAATAATCCACATCGCGGAATCCCACTTCAGCCACGTACTCATGGATAGTCAAGGACCGTTCGGCCGCCTCACCCTGATCCTCGTCCAAGCCCCGTCCGATTTCGGTGGCATTTCGTCCGTCGTCGCCCGTCTGACTGGCCTCGCGTATTTAACTCGCGCGCCCAACGCCTAAGCCAGAGTCGACCCGCAAAAACGACACTGCTCGCGCGCGCGAGCGCAAAACGAGCGCGCTGTTCATGTCTCCCTGCTTGCGGGGAGATCCCTTATGCTTTGCAACGGCGCCGGACTGAAGCGACAACTGAATCATATCATGTTCCTTGGTGGCTGCGCGCTGGCGCCGCGCCGGACACGCAAGCGCAGCCCTCTGACGAAACCCGGAAGCTGTGCCGTGGGCCGAGCCCGCGCCGACTCGCGCGCCGAAAAAGTTGACCGAGCATGGCCTCGCGCACGCGCCAGCTCGTGGTGTCTTGGGCAGTCGGCCCGAGATCGAGGCGCCTGGCTCCCCCGCAGCACACTGGCAGGCTGGGCGCGCGGGCCTCGGATGCCCCGATGTCGCGCAAATGGCATGCGCGGGCGCGGAGACGGACATGTCCCGCTGGATGCCGGGGCGCGCCGCGTATGCTGAGACACGGCTGGCCCCAAGCCAAGGGAAGCCGATATGATGTCTCTGCAGAGCACTTGCTACATGCACCCGTGTGTGCACCGTGTCAATGAGCAAATAGGGCTCAAAGAAACGGCTGGCTGTGTTTCGCATGCGCAGTGTGAACCGCAAGCTCGATATGCTCTGGGAGGGGGAACTTTGGGAACCGCACGTACATTCACCCAACTGTGCGGGCCCCTTCAGTCGGAACACTAGATATAAATACAATTGAACGTCTCACGGTCGCAAACCTGCCCCGACTAGTGTCCACTATGCTCTGCGCGGCGGCGGTCGCGATCGTAGTTTCAAGGTCATGCTCCTGCCCGAAACCAACATAAGACCGACGGTGCCCACCAAGAATCGCTCCCAGAAGAGCCCCGAGCGGGCCCCCAACAACGCTCGAGCGAGCGCCACCCTGAAGCAGGCGAGGGCCCGTCATCAAAGAGGCCCTGCCAAGGGGGCAGCGCAAAACCGGTGCAGCGCTCCAGCCGAGCCGCGCCACAGCGCTGCTGCACAACTCTCGGGCTGCACAACTCTCGGGCTGCTGCTGCTGCGAGGATGCCTCGTTTCCACTTTTGACTCTGCTCGTTTCTGATCGCTCCTGGCCAGCGGGCTGGTCACCCCGGGACGGGAGTGGAGCGGAACGAGCGAACACCTAGTCCGGCTGACTTCAGACACGGTAAGCGACTGGCCACACCGACCTCAGGCACAACAGAAGTCTTGCCTGCGGGTAGGGCGCGTGCCCATACCCAATGCAGCTTGAAGTTCCAGTCTCCCTGCCCCAGGAACCCCAGGCGCACTGGACATGGAAGAAAATCTGGCCCCTAGAGGCTCGATCATTGTCCATGTCCAGTGCGCCTCGGCCCTGCGGCGCCCCTTCCAAGAAAGCCCAAGACGCGCTGGACATGGGCACATCTACTGATATATACATATATATAGACGTGTTCAATCAAAACGTGTATTATGGACGGATGGTAAGATCGCAAGGTCCTGGACGTGTATTATGGACGGATTTGTTTTGAGCGGCGGGCGACCAGTGAAAACGGCAAAGAACGGGCCACACAGGCAAGGACAGAAGGGTACCCTAGATGAAGGCCCGCGTCCTCACTAGGCGCGTTGGTTGACTGTCTGTATAGATGTATATGTTAACTGTATGTATGCATATATGCATGTATGTATGTCTGTATACATGTACATGTGTGTATGATTGTGTGTAAGTATGTACGCATGTGTGTGTATGTATGTATGTATGTATGCGTGTATGTATGTATGCATGCATGCATGTATGCATGCATGCATGTGTGCATGTCTGTGAATACGCGTGTGTGAATGTATGTATGCAGGTATGCATGCATGCATGTATGTATGTATGTAGGCGTGTATGCATGTATGTATGTATGTATGTTTGTATGCATGTATGTATGTATGTATGTATGTATGTATGTATGTGTGTATGTATGTATGTATGTATGTATGTATGTATGTATGTATGTATGTATGTATGTGTGTATGTGTCTATGTGTATATATTGATGCATGTACGCATGCATGCAAGTGTAGATGCATGCATGTATGTGTGTATGTATGGTTGCACGTATGTATGTATGCATGTATGTATGTACGCATGTATGCATGTATGCATGTATGGATGCATAGAATGCAGGTCTGTATGGATGTATGCATTCGTGCATGTTAGTGTATACGGATGTGTGTAGGTATGCATGCATGTGTGTGTATGGATGTCGATAGATATGACAGTACGCATGTGTATATGCATGCATTCATTCATGCATGCATGCCTGTCTGTCTGTCGGTATGCCTGTCTGCCTGTATGCATGCATGTATGTGTGTATGTATGTGTGCATATGTGTATGTATGTGTGTATGTATGTATGTGTGTAAGTATGTGTGCGTGTTGTCCGCATGGGCCCTCGACATCCCCCCCCGCCCGCGAGAATTGAGAACTGGCGATGCGCATATCACTTCCGCGGGCAGAGGCGGGGACCCACCCTCTCTGGAGGGGGCAGTGCCAACCCCCAGAGCGTGGCGCGTGCGACGGGGCGTGCGGGCGAATGGCTGCGCGCTGGCTCCCCGCGATCGGTCCTTGTCGAAGTAAGCCATCTGGTTGGCCATGGATCGGAGGGGCCAGGAGGAGAGCACCTGAGCGACGATCGTCAACGGGCATTGCGCGAGCTGAGCGCGAGATGACATGGCAACCTTACGCCGCAGCTTGCGCGGGCTGCCAGCGCGGAACGCTGCATTGGAAAAGCGAGGGCACTTACGCGCGACCTTACGCGGGCAGCTAACGCGCCACTGTCGGCGAAAATGACCCCATCTTTTTTTTGGCGTCGCCCACCTGGATCCCCAGGAAGCCAAGAGGGCCCAAGGTGGGGGCGCCGTCGATGAACGCCTGGGGGTCGATCATCACCATCCGCTCGACCGCCTGGAGTGATGGGGTGGAGGAGCCCGGGCAGCAGCAGGAGATGGCAAGAACTGCTAGGACCTGGACGGCCTTCGGAAGACAGGGCAGGAATGGGGGACGCGAGGAGCAGAGGCCACGCCGTCGCTGCCCGACTGCTCGTAGACTGCGCCACCAGCAGGCGAGACGATCCGGGCGCGGCCTGACCGACCCCTAGCAGACCGTCCCCTTCTGCGACGTCAGCCTCGCCTTGCAGGGTTCCCTCCAGCCGCATGCATACGTCTTGGGGCGAGGGGAGGGGGGCGTCACAGAAGGGGATCATTTGCTAGGGGTCGGTCGGGCCGCCTCTGAAATATGGGCGGCAACAATGCGGAAAGAGGAACTGCAGCAGTACGGGCAGGAAGAAGGAAAAGAACAGCTTGAGCTTTACACGAATTGCGAATCAAGGGCACTCGCCCCTTCCAGTTCCCCAAGAAAGGCAAGCAACCCCGAGAGCCAACCCCGCCCTCCCCTTCTTATTCCCATCAGACCTCCTCTCCCCGTCTTCTCCTCCTCCCCCTTCTCCTCCTCCTCCTCCTCCATCTCGGCTCCACTGCCTCCCGGTAACCCCCTCTCGACCCCGTGCCCCCTCCACCCGCTCCCCCTTCCTCATCCCACTATTTTTGCCCCTTGTGCATATCCATCCCTTTTCCCCACGCGAGTGGCCGCCGCCCAGGGCAGTGAGCCAACGCCCCACAACTCCTGGCAAAAACAAGCAAACCTCACATGGCATCAGATGGTTGGCCATGTGCAAACGTTCCATCACTATGTAACATTGGCTCTTGGCATGGATGGTGGTGGGGTAAGCGTATTTCTGCTACGCGCTGGTCCACGAGCCGTGTGGCAGTAAAGTCAAGCAGATTGCGGGCACGCACGTCATACATGCTGGTTTCCCCGACGTCACGTTGCGTTTGCTTGATTGCGGGTGGACAGCGCGGCGCGCCTGGGACACGTTGCAACACACGTGGCGCACCAGCCGCGCATTGGGAGCACCTGGTGCGCCTGGCATACGTGGCGCACCCCGCGAGCACGGTGCACCTGGCGCCTGCACAGCTCCTCTGTGGCTCTCCACCTGATGGCGGCAATCGCCCTGCAGGGTCTCGGGCGCCACTGGTGCGGTGGGATGGCGGGTGTGCGTGAGCGAGACAGCTCGTGGCGCTCCAGTTGAAAAAGCTTGGCCATCTCCCCTTCCCCATCCCCACCGTCCCCGCCACCACTCTCCCTCTCCTAGAGGCTTCCTGTATGGGGCCCGAGTAGTTGGGGTCAGAGGATCTCGCCGCATCTCCGATACATCGGCGATGCACTGGTGACGTCGGCGACTCATCGGCGACGTCGGCGTAGAGAAAATTGGGCCCCACATCGAGCCGCATCGCCGATGCATCGACGATGCATCACCGATGCATCGGTGATGCATCGGCGATGCGGCGCGATCCTCCAGCCCCGTCTACTCAGATCCCATCTAGGAAGTCTAGATCTTCTTTTCTCTCGCCCTTCCCCTTACCACCCCCCCTTCTCTTTCTGCCCGTCTCCCCTGAGGCCGACCGTGAGGGAACCAGTTACACGCAAGAATGACCCTGGATAAGAATGACCTCTGGTGCGCGGATTCTTGGGGGCCGCGGGGGGACCAAACACAAGCGCGCAAGACGCTACTATCGTATCGCGTTCGGCGATCGGGAGACTTCAGTGTGCCCGCACTTAAGGTCACTGGGGCGAAGCACTATTACTTGTCGGGGATCTTCTTACCCGGGTCAATCCAGACCCGGGTCAGCAGGAAACCAAAAACTGCAATGCAGGAACAAAAAATGCTGCAACGTAGGTCCTCGCAAACCCGGGTCAGCCAATACGCGCGGCCGCCTCGCGGCCACGAGCGGCTCCCTGACCCGGGTCAGCCAGGGGGGGCCTTCGCAGGACCCTGCAGGATCCGGTGCCCTGGCTGACCCCCGTTTGTACTGACCCCCGTCTCTTAGGCCCCGAACTTGAAAACGGCTTAACTTCCCGCCCCCCGCCTCTCTCTGCCCGCCTCCTGTGGGGCCGATCGTGAGGGCGCACCTCCTGGGGACACCCGCGGCTCTCCGGGCAGCCTGGCATCTCCCTTGCGGGGCCACACTCGGGGCCTCCCTCGGAGTGGCGCCCAATGGCCTCCTTTGAGCAGGGACCGACCGTCCCGGCATTCCTATAGGCCTACAACGACAAGTTCTTCGACATACAACAATTTATCAAAACGCAAACAGAGTTCTTAGAACAGAACGCCGATGTGTTAAAGCAAGGCAGTCTCAGCCAGAACTGCTCTGAGGACATGTCGCCAAACATATTAACAAAAAGGCTCTTACAACTTTTTTGGGTGGGCCTGTAGGCAGGCCAAGACGCTTCGCCACTGCTTGACTCCTGGGTGCCCCCATGGGCCGTCCCTGGGAGCGGGCGACGACGGCGGGATGTCCTCCTTGGAGGCGCGCGCTTGACCCGGACATATCAAATACCCGTCCTGCAATATATCTATTTTCCCGAGCCGTGTGGCCAGAAAGCGCCCGCAACGACGCGTATGCCATAAGATTTATCGGTGCACGCGGCGCCCCTGGGGGTGGTGGTGATGGGTGGTGGGTGGGGGGGGGGGACAACGCACATACACACATACACACACAACACACAACACACAACACACACACAACACACACAACACACACAACACACACACAACACACACAACACACACAACACACACAACACACACACAAAACACACAACACAACACACACACACAACACACCCACACAACACACACAACACACACCACACACACCACACACCACACACTACACACCACACACCACACACACCACACACCACACACCACACACCACACCACGCACACACGCACACACGCACACACGCACACACGCACACACGCACACACGCACACACGCACACACGCACACACGCACACACGCACACACGCACGCACGCACGCACCCACGCACGCACCCACGCACCCACGCACCCACGCACCCACGCACCCACGCACCCACGCACACACACAGTATCAACATGTCGGGGTGACGCCGGCAGGACGCAATGTGTGAGTCACTCGTCATACGTGCCATCCGTCCTCCCCTCCCTGGGCGACCTCTCCAGCTCCGACCCCCCCCTCCTCGCGACCCCCAGCTCCGCATACCCATAGGGCCCATAGGGGCGTCGGGGAGGGAGGTAGACTGGCTACGGGCATGGGTGCGGGCTGTCGGACCTCGGGGGAGGCTTCCGTCAGAGCGAGCATGCCCATCCGACAACCCGCACCCAACTCCCGTTTCCGTCCCCCCCGATGGGTATGGGTGCGTGTTGTTCATTCTTCATCATCCTCCCAGTGTGCGCCCCTCCGAAAGAATTTGCTTCGTCGTTCCTGGGTGAGCCCAGGGAGCGACGCCCCGGCAGCGAGTGGAAGCGACTGCGCGGCCCTCGCCTGTTGCGAGGTTGGTGCCTGCATCGGCAAGATCCGTGGAAATCGGGCCGGGCGCGAAGTCTGCGAACGTGCCAGTGTGCGGAGGGGAGGAGCAGGAGGAGGATGCGGAGGGCGCGGACGAATTTTTCTGACCAAGGTTAGCGAAACTGGGCGCGTGAGAGCCTACAACTTGACACTAAACGAGCGGTGCCGAGGATGCTGAGTGGACGATCTTCGCGAGTGCGGGTGCGCTTCAACCCAGCATGAGAAATCGGCAGCGCCCGCTGGCCTAAGTTGAACGTCCCCTCCTGTTCCCTCGTAATGTGCGAAGGCCCCCTTCCAAAACGTCTGGGGCTCGGGCTATCAGGAAAGGTTGAGGAAAGCGGGCGAGGGCGGCTGATGAGAAAAGTGGGGAAGTAAGCACACTTCTGGGAAAAGCCAAGACGGGGGACAAACATGGATAAGGAGGCGAAACCACAGGAATGAAGAGACGGAGGGATAATATTCACAGGATGATGGGGTGGGGAAAGCAAGAGGACCTGGGAAGAGGAGAAGAAACATGAAGAAAGAGGACGAGCAAATCATGGAAACAAGAGAGGAGGATGTAAGGGGAATGACGAGGAAGGCGAATGATTCGGACGAGGGGTAATGGAAATGAAGACAACGGGGGACCTGGACATACATCGGCGCTCCGAAAGTTGATTCCGATTTGAAAAGCACGGCGCCGCGCGAATGCAGCGCAAACGCTATGCTGGAAGGGCGCGGCAATTCATGCCCACTGGACAAGCGAGAGCAGCCGCGTCCCCGTGCGAACCCCGATCCCGCGCGGGGCGCGTTCCCGTTGTCAGTGGCTCACCCGGGAAACTGTTTCTTGCGCAGGAAATCCTGAACGGTCCGCCCATCGGCGGCTCCTTCGGACGAGGCCCGGAACCACCGAGAAACCGTGTTTTGATAGGAAGTTCTAGGCGGTTTGCCCATGCTCGATTTCTTCGGAGTGGGCCCGAAGACCTCGATACTGATGTTTCAGCAAGGAGTCCTAAGCGGTTTGCGGATTTTCGGGTCGTTCGAACCGAGCCCGACATTTTTTCCGGCACAAGTCCTATGGCATTCGGCCATTTTCAGGTCGGCCAGTAAACTTTTCGGGTCGTCGTATGACCGAACCCGAAAGTTTTGTTCGAGGAAGTCCTATGCCGTTTGCTCATTTTCGGGTCCGTACACCGTTTGGGATTCAAAATTTTCAATTGGGAAGGGGAACCCGATCCCGCGACCCCAGGCGGGGGTTAGGCTCTGCCCTTGCGACATCGCCCCCGTCCGCCCTCGGGCCCCGCGGGTCTTATCCTGCGCGCGCCACCCCAGATGGCCGCGGCGAGCGCGGTGGCGAAATTGGGGAAACTTTCGGATCGGCGCAGTAGAAGGATGAATGGGACAGAGGAGGGATGACGGGGGAAGAAAGAATACGAATTCGGAGAATGAGAGGAAAACTAGTGGAAGGGGGACAGGACTGACAGGAGACGGACGAGAAGGAAAGCGGCACAGGACACCCGGTGAGGGAGGA